CTTCTGTATTAACCCATTTAGCATAGGCTCGGTCCCACAGACCGACCTTGTAACCATTTTGTGCTTGTTATAGTTTTCATGCTATAACTTTTAAATTAGTAAGCATATCTTCATGAAATTTTGTATATTATCAGTAAACATTACAAGGCTTTATTACGGAAAATATTTTTTTTATTAAGTTTAAAGATTTCTTAAGTAATGTTTTTCTCTTGCCTTTTTTATTTTCAAATGTTGACTATCGAGCATGCAAAGTAATTTTGATTTTAAGATTAAAAATACTTTAATGCATCAGAAAATTGTCATTTTTAAATGCTAAAACTTTATAACCTCCAGATAATTATCAAATGTTTTTTTAGAAAATACTTTATATTTTATCTGTTATTTTCACTACTGTATCTCTGTATGGGTTGGGTAGATTTGACCGACCTTGTAACCACCATAACAAATTATGAAATAAATATAAATTATGCTTTTTTTCGTTCTAGAATGACAAATTATAACACAAAAACACAAATGTTTTGTCTAAATAGCTTAAATCTCATAACATTATACATCTATATAGATTTATTATTTTTATTATATTGAGACCTTTTATCTGTGTCTGGCTAACATTACAGAAGTTGCAATCACGTGGCGCACATGGACTCATTTTACTGTATACAAGAGTATAAAACTGGCCTTTACAAAGTGACCTGTCTTGGCTGTATTTTAGTGGAATAGTATTTTGTAAAATACAGTCACATTTCAGTTATAATACAGTATATATGCATATACACTATTACTATTCACAAATAAGTTCTTAAACTTATTTTTCTTAAAACATAGAATGGTAAATAAAAAAAGTATAGCAAAAATTATCTCTTCTAGTTACAAACTTTGAACTCATTTGCTGCTTGCCATAAGTTGCTAAGCCTTATCAAATTGCACACATGGAGGATGTGTAACAAAATTTGTTTTAGATTTTATACACACATTTTGAAATAACCAAAAATCATAAATCACTATATCAATACCACAAAATTCCACTATAATTTACCAAGCTTAGTAACTAAGCTGTATTTGGATTTTAAAAAATATGAACTTTTGAGCTCACTAATGTCTTACTATATCGCTTGGAATCCAGTATGAAAAGAAAAGTTTGCCATGCAAATACTTTGGAGAGGTTGAGAAAACCACTAAGGGGAGGGGGCATTATGAGCTTTTGATAGGTTATACACACATCATTGAGCAAAGTAGGTGTACATAAACAGGTATTTTCAAAACCTGAAGAGGTGAGTGGGGCCACCGTGGTTGATTCAATAAATATATTAATATAT